CACCCCAGCATTTGGGGAAGTGGAGGGAGTAGTACCAGGTAAGTGTTGCATCCATAAGAACATGGACAATAGCCCTGCTCTGCTCCTCACCTTAATCTGGGCCACCTGTCAGCTGAGGAATGCAAACCTCAGCCTGTGTGGTTTCACAACACAGAGGATCCCACGGACCAAACTCCAGTGAGGCAAATTGCCTTTCTGTTCTCTGATTATAGCTGTGCTTGAATCTATTGATTTTCTATTGCCTTTGATGAGTGCTGCTCTCCAGAGTCTATGGGAAACCCTGGCAACTTCAAGAGCAAACAAATAAATTAGTAAAAAGAGATTGCAGACTAAGCCATTAATAACTCTCATTCATCTGTAGGATTGGGCAAAGCCAAATGTATCATACATGCTGTGATGATGGCTGCAGTGACACACCAGCAGTGCCATCACTGGCAGCTCAGGCTCACCCAGCCACAGTGAGAGATGCTGCATTATCAGTATAAAAGTGCAAGCAAAAATATTAAAAAACCCAAAGATTAGATGCAAAATGTGCTTGTGAAAGATGTCAGTGTCTCCTAGTACTCGACAGATGTGTGGCAGCTGGCTGCATTTTTATCTTGGCGTAACAGAGGGCACAGTAGGAGTCTGTTCCAACAGTTATTTTCCCAGGTGAGTGTTTTGGGGACATCCTGATATCAAGAGCAGTGGGTGCCTGTGGGACTCGTCCCAACAACCAAATCAGAGCAAGGAAGATGATGTGTAGGGAAAGATGCTTCTGTGCATCTGGAGAGAAACAGCACTGTAGGCCAAAGGAACTCTGGCAGAGATGATGTGAGTAGGTCTCAGGTAGCAGTCATTTAATTGGTGTTCCTGAAATAGATGATTCTTATCTTCCAATTAATAAAGTGTTTAGCTAACACAAATGTTTCCAGCTGGAGGTTTTTTCCCCTCTGTTCACAGCTGTGAACTGATTGCATGTGTTTTGTGCAGGCAATTTAAAGTAGTTCATGGGGAAGTTAAATCCAATGATTCTGCTGAAGAAACATTTTCATAAAATTGTAGATAATGAGCAGAAGTGAGTGTGCAGAAAAAAATTAATTTTAAGAACATGAAGGGTAATTGAGAGTTATGACTCTAGTAAATGCCTTGAACACTGAATTCTCTCAGCTGTTTAACAGGATGGTGTAGCCAAAACCAGGCAGAGTCAGAAGAGCCCTCAAAGGCAGTCTGCCTTAAACTGTGGGAGCAGGCAATTGATAATGATAAATATGAATGTAGTTAGGAGATAGGCACACTTGTTGAAGAAGATCAGAAAACCCAATGATAAATCTGTGGGGGAAAGTAGAATCAGAATGAGTCATTTACATAGTGAATCCTGGTAAATTCACTGCAGTGTTTGGTATTAGATTACTGCTTTGAATTGGTTAAAATGTGTGAAATTGGGGTTTGACTCCATGTGCTCTAATAAAAAGCCTTTTAGATCAGACAAAGTGTTTTTTCCCTGTAGGTAGTTATGGCCACTTATTTTGCCTTGATATTTTATTTGAGTAGCAGGTAGTTGGAGACTCCCCAGGCTTCCTACATGTCTCATTTGAAGAATGTTCTTTCAAGAACTCACATCCAAAGGGATGCTATTGTGCCTCTTGGCTTAATGCAGGACTGCCCTTGTTGTTGAGGAGAAATCAGGTCTTTACGTTTTAAAGAGTCAAGAAACACACTTGATTGCTTTTCTGAGCTTTTCCAAAGCTTTCCTCAGCTTTCAGTTCACGTTTTTGATGCATGGCCTGGAGAAAGAGTGGCATCGTTGCTGGGGGAGACAATTGCCATCCAGACACCTGTGCCTGAGCCCTGCCTGGGCTCCCTCTGTTGTCAGTGGGGGAAGAGCTCTCCTCCTGTGGAAAGTCCTGTTTCCCTGGCAAGGTCAGGTGAAGACAGCCAAGCATCTTTTTCTCTTTGAATCTAGAAGACTCCGGAGCTCAGCCAAGTGAGATGCATCAGTCTTGGGTGTATAAATGTACAGTCCAGTGCCACATACAAAATAATATCATCTCTATTGTTGGGCTTCTGTTCAGTATTTCCTCTGGTACAGCCAAGAGGAGCTGTCCTGAGCTGCAGGAGTACATCAGCTGCTGCTGTGACCATTGAGCCTTTGCAGTGTGTCCAGGAATATGGCCTGTCAGTCTTTAATCTGATTTTATTGCTGACTCAGATGGCTCTGTTAAACTGAACTCCCCCTACTACATTTGCCACTGCCACAGTTTACTTGCTTTTGTGAAAGTTATCATCCTCTTTTCTTCCTGTGGTTTTTTTTGTTTCAGTTTGGGTTTTTGTTTGTTTAGTTTTGAGTGGGGTTTTTTTGTTGTTGTTTGTGGTTTTTTGTTTGTGTGTGGGTTTTCAATGGTTTGGGGTGAGTTTTTTTGTTTGTTTGGTTTTTGGGGCTTTGTTTTGGTTTTTTGTTGGTTTGGGTATTTGATGGGGTTTTTTTCCAAACATTGTAAGATAGAGGAAGGCTGAGAATTGCTACTTTTCCGAAAGAGAGAAAAATATGAAGTCCATACATCCATATCAGACTGGTCAGTACATTTACAAGCTTTATCAGATTTATTTAACATCTCCTGTTTAAAAATCCACCAACAATATTAATTAGCATTAGTAATAGTCCCAGTGTTTGAATCCTGTACCATTTGTTCTGATACTTTGGTACCATTGACAGACTGGAGAAGGGCAGTCCCAAACAGCCAGAGTAGTTTGGGTTGGAAGTCCCCTTGAGTTCTCTGCTCCAAGCCCTAACTCAAATTGTGACTTCAGAGCAGTCAGATGTATATACCTATATATCTGTGTATTTATGTATACCTAAGATAATATTTTATATTGGCCAATTCCCCTCAATCTTATAAATGTGCACTCTGTTTGGAATACTGATTTGGTCTGGTTCTGTCTCCAAGCACTGAGGTTACTTCTGGCTATGCCAGGAAGTTAAAAGAGCCTCCAGCTAGGAGATTTGTTGTAGATCCTTTTGTTTGTAGATCTTATTGTTTGTAGATATTGCTTTACATCTCCTTCTCCTTACTAAGTTAATTAAATTGAGCCTCTTTCCTCTCTGGCAGTAAATCATGTCAGCTGGGAGGTTCTGGGAAGTTCCAGAGCCATCTCTGGTAGCTCTGAACAGCTCTGTGAGTGTCCCACAGCCTGTGTGGAGCCTGTGGCAGTGCCGGAGCAATGCCACATGCAGCAGCAGCCACCAGCCCTGTGCAGATCTGCCTCCCTGGGGCTCTGGCTGTCTGGGGAGGAGGCTGCTCTCGCTTCAGCCAGAAGCTGGTGCTGGGTTAACCATTAACTCCCAGCCCCTGGCCTGGTAAGACAGGCTTTTGTTTTCAGAGCACTGTGAGTCTGCTCGCTGTGGCCTTTCCTGTGCTGGTCCGGTGACATTTCTCCCGTGGTTCTGCTGGGGTCTGAACAGCCTTTCCTGCCTGCAGGCAGCTGCAGTGACCTCCACGGTGTGTGGGCAGCGAGAGGGAAGGTGGCCCAGGAGCAGGACGTGGCCATGGTGTAAGGGAGGGGACAGGCCTGTGGCCAAGGCTGGGTGCACTGCTGCGCTCAGGACACCAAGGTTCCTCTCCTGGTACTGTTTGCAGTGCTCCTTCAGGGGCTGGAAGAGCCTGAGCCCAGCCACGTGGGATGGTGATTCCCCCACAAATCCCCCAGTGGTCCTTCAGGAGCTGGGTCCCACAGGGTGCCCAGTGTGCACCAGGAGGGTCCCGTGGTGGGTGCAGCCTGGGCCCCCTGCCTGCCTGGAAATGGATCACCTCCTGCCCAAGGGTGTGCGTCAGAGTGCTGCTGCCTCCCTTACTGGCACTGCCTCCTCCCCACATCCTGGTCATGACTTCTTGAGGCTGTGTAATAGGAAACTCCTGCGAGTTTCCTCTGCAGAGAGGTCCACAAAAATTCTGGATGACAAGTCTGTTCCAAGACACACTGCCTGAGCAAGGGTGCAGATCAAAGAGCTGCCAGTCATCCTACCTCCACTCAGGTTTGCAGCAGTCCTCACATGCTGTGGGCCGTGCCTCAGGCCCAGGACAGGACAGTGCTAATGCTGAGTGCCAGAGGGGGACTCCAGAACCTCCCAGGGGCCCCTTCCTGCTCCTCCCTCAAAGCACAGAAGCGTTGTTTAAAAACACCCTGCCAGCTCTGAGCTGAGCTGGGAAGAGTTCACATTGAGTGTGTAGCGTGCTGATGTGTTCTAATTGCTGCTCATGCTCAGCAGCAGCAAGGAGAGGCATAAGCAACTGCTCATCTCCTGGGTGGGTGAGTGGGTGGCAGCCGAGGGCAACAACAGCTTTGGAAATGGGAGGGAGAAACTTGAAACTCCGCTGGTAGAGTGTCCTTGGGATGTGACTACAGCCCAGGTGAAGATTTCTGCTGAGCAGCCTGAGATGCTGGAGAAATATTGGCAGTGTCAAATGGCAGCAGGTCCCAGTCCCCTCCATCTGCCAGCTAGCATGGGGGGCTTGCCCCATCCTCAGTGGTTACCATATGGCTGGGATTTGCCTTTTTCTGATTCTGTCTATGGTTTCTGAACCTTCATCACTAAGGTGTCTTCAGGAGACAGGTGCAGTGCTGGAAAGAGAGGTGTCTGCTGCATGGGTGTGTCTGTGTACAGGGACATGAGTCCTGCAGAAGTGTGACCCTCTACAGCCTGGGACCTCACCTGTGAGCAGCTGCACTGGCTGTGGAGCCCTGGGTGAGGCTCCTCTGGTGGTGCACAAACCACCTGGGCAGGGCAGCAGAGGAGGACACTTCTTGCCCTTAGCTATGGGGAACAGGCTGGTTTTGGAAACCCTGCATAACCAAAGTAAATGGACTGTGGCTCTTCTCTTCAATTTCATTTCACTTAATTTAGTACTCAGAAATGTGTTTAATTAAAAAATTATTTATATAAACATTGACAGCCTAACTTAAACTGTGACTATATTTGTATTCTCAGCTCTTATATTGATTTTGAGCATTTTTTCTTTCAGGGTGAGATTGCCTCCACTCAAAGGAACAATAACATACTGGAAATACACAAGGTGTATACCATTCAGCCAGACTAAGAAAAGCTTTGTTCTAAAAGGAATAAAATAATCATGGCAGAATGTACAGGTTACAAGGAAACCTCAAATCGGCACCTACGATTCAAATTGCAGAGCCTGAGTCGCCGCCTTGATGAACTGGAGGAAGCAACTAAAAATCTGCAGAAAGCAGAGGATGAACTGCTTGACCTCCAGGACAAAGTTATCCAGGCAGAAGGCAGCAACTCCAGCATGCTGGCTGACATTGAAGCCCTGAGGAAAAGAGTGCTGAAAATTGAAGGCAAGGATGAAGAAATTAGGAAGGCTGAAGAGCTTTGCAGATTAATGAAAGAAAAGCTTGAAGAGGAGGAGAGCCTCACTCGAGATCTGAAGTCAGAAATTGAACTCCTTCAGAGGAGAATGGCAGAGCTGGAGAAGCTGGAGGAGGCCTTCAGCAGGAGCAAGAATGACTGTACACAGCTGTGTCTTAGCCTCAATGAAGAAAAGAACTTGACCAAAAAGATATCCACAGAATTAGAAATACTTAGAGTGAAAGTGAAAGACCTGGAATCATCTGAAGACAGGCTGGATAAAACTGAGCAGACCTTAACAGCTGAGCTAGAAAAGCTGAAATCCTTAGCCCTGAGCTTTATCACAGAAAGAAAACATTTTAACGAAAGAGAAAAGCAAAATGAAAAAATAATCCAGGAGCTAACACAGAAACTAGAACAAAACAATAAACTAAATAGGGCAGATCAAACTAGAAATGCATCCAACTTGCTAGAAAGGTCATCCAACAATCTCCTGGACAGAAATGATATGAGAATTGAAGATGACTTGACTTCTGCACTGCCTTCTAAAGAGACCAGGAGGAAGGGAAGTGTGGATTACCTGAAACACGTAGAAAATGAAACCAGGAATAAATCAGAAAACCAAAAGAATAAAAACCAGGAAGACAACAAAGTGAAAGATCTCACCCAAGAAATTGAGAAACTTAAAATTCAGATCAAACATTTTGAATCTTTAGAAGAAGAACTTAAAAAAGTGAGAGCCAAAAATAATGATCTGCAAGACAGTTACTTGAGTGAGCAGAATAAAAACAAACTCTTAACAGGTCAGCTAGAAGAAATAAAAATGCAAATAAAGAAACAGAAAGATCTGGAGAATGGAGAAGTTGAAAATGAAGATACAAGCTTTTCTAGCAGGGGAAAGCATGACCGACCTAAATACAGGGGTGTCATGACTGATTTGGCAGCTGCTAAGCACAAGCCAAGGGAGCTCTCCCCGCAGCAGCGCCGGGAGAGAGCACGGAACAGAGACTTCTGTCTCAGCAATGACAGCTACAGCCACGGTGGGAAACGGGTGCCCAGTCCAAGCTTAATGAGCAGAAAAGCAGGGAAAGCTTCTGGTGCATCTGCCCTTTCAGACACTGCTGTCACAGATACAAGAAGACTGGAAGAGAAATCTTTAGTTTCCACTATTTCTTCTGGTCAGAAGGAAGGCTGCATCATGCAGAATGAGGGGAAGAGATCCAAAGAGCAGCCATCTGTGCTCAGCCGGTATCCTCCTGCTGCACAGGAGCAGAAGTCTTGGAAAGCACCTTCCAAGCCTGTTGGTGATACAGGCCTGAGATCCAAGGTGGAAAAGCCATCTCAGGTGCTCCGTGGGAACTGCCAAAATGGTGCTGACACACGGGATGAAAGGTCAAGCAAAGGAGAATCAACGGGTTCTGTGTCTGAGAAGCTGAAGACAAGTCAGGGTGATGTCAGTGAGTGCTTGGGGGATACACAGCTCACAAGGGGCAGCCACAGCTCTTCCAATGGCACAGCCTCAGCATACAGGTACCACGTGTCCTCCAGCGTGTCAGTCTCAGACTCTGCTGGCTCTAAAGTGGAAGCAGTGAGCACTTTTGCATCACACAGACAGCCCTCAGAGGGGAGGGCTAAAAGGGCATTAATCTCCCAGGAAAAAGAAGCTGCAGACACATCACTGGAAAGTGTGAAGCTTTCGACGCTGACAAAGCGTTCCCACCACTCCAGGAGTCAGGAAGACATTCTGCAGATTCTCACAGGTCTTGATAAAGAAGGCACCGAGCAGTCTTCAAGTTCAGCAACAGATCATGTAAATATGGGTTTAAAAACTGACTCCAAAACCATCCAGAGTAACCAGGAAAAATTTAATTCAGATGAAGAATCAGGAAGAGGCAAAAAACCAACCACTCAGTCAGATTTTGAGACAAGAAAGAAAGTCAGTTCCAAGCAGTTCTCCAATTCTAGGGGAGTTTTTAGAGCATCACTTTTTGAAAATGACAAAAAATCTGTGAATGATGAAGACTCTACCAAGTGCATAAAACCATCTGATGCCAGCACTGGAGAACTGAAATCCAGAAGATCCTTCAGCCCTAGAGAAGCTCTGAGATCAAAAGCCATCATTAAACCTGCAATTGTTGAGAAGGATATGAAGGCAATCATGGGAGGGACTGTTTCAGAGGCAGAGTCAGAAAAACAGAAGTCTACTTTTAAAACGGTAACAAATAAAATGACAAGCAGCATCACAATCTTTCCTTCTGAGCCAACAGCTGCAAGGACCACTGCAGATACAGCAGCAAAGGAAAGGCATGTTACCACCAGCAACATCAGAGTTGCTTCAAATGAGCCTTCACCATCAATAACAAACAATGCCCCTTCACCCTTTGAGGTGTCAGTTAATAGAAGTGCTCTGAAGTCACCTGAGACAGACAGAGGTGGAGAGGCAGTGCTGAGAAGTAAAGCTGAAACAGTGGTCTCGAGAAGCAGCATTATGCTGAAGACTTCTGAACTGACAGAGAGGAACAGTGAGACACCTTTGGAGACAATCAGCTGGAAGAGCCATGGCTCGTCAGATGCAGGTTCATCCGAAACAAAGCACGTCACTGTCAGAAGTTCCTGGAGAACAAGACAAGGCCTACATTCCCTGGAGGACTCTCAAACCAAAGTGGAGAAAAGTGCAACTTTCAGTGCCACAAACTTGTGTAGATCCTCAGTGGACCTTTTAGAAGGGGAAGGGAGTAGTTCAAAAACAGACTTCCTGGAGCAGGCTTCCTCCAGGACAAGTGCCACAGCTAATTCTTGGGGTGCCCCTGAGCTGGGGTCCCGAAGGACCAAAAGTAACTTAAGTGCATCTGAGCTGCTGACACGCAGGAGCTATGCAAGTGACCCTGCAGCAGCTGCTGCTTGGCAGCGCACCACGCCACCTGTAAGTGTCCTGTCTTCAACACTCTTCAGCTGATGAGGTTTTCCAAGTTGCCTGTTAGTTGTAGGCTGCATGATTTGAAATTTTACAGCTTATGTCCTAAGTGCTGCCTCTCCCAGCTCCTGCTGTCTTCCTTCAGTGAGTTCACAATTCACAGCGCCCACAACTTTCTCATGTGTGAATTACCAGATTTAGCCTTCTTGAAATGAGATCCATCTGCTTGGGTCTTGTAATGCCATATGAATAACTATATAGTAGCATCAGAGAAGATGTAGTCACAGCTTAAGTAGGACGTGGTATGCTTTTCAGAGTCACTTTAGGTGGCGTTTTAAATTTGGAGTAGCAATGAAAAAATGATGGAAATGAGCAGATTTGAGTGGGGTTGTGCCTGAGGTACAGTTGTAGCTCTGATGGCAGGTGTAGAGATAGATAGAGCTCCTTTTGGTAAGAGCTTCATGGTTTCCTCATGTGAAACCAGACTCTGGTCTGGAAATGCTTCCTGGGCATCCCCTAAACAGGTGGATGGTGGTTGGGAACACAAGGCTGCTCCCTCCTTGCTCTGTGCCAATATTCCACCTGAAAAGCAGCAAGAGCCACAAGGACAGCTGTGCTCTTTCCCTGTTTGACTCGAAGCAGTGGCACATGCAGACAGCTGCTCTGGTGGGATGTGCTTGCCACTGGAGCTGCAGGTTCTGGCAGATTTCACTTGAACTCACAGCAGCACGTGCCCTTCTGGCCATTAAACCCACACTGGTTCATGCTGCAGCTCCTGCCTCTGCTATTCATTTAGCACTACTCTGAGCAGCTCTGCTATTGCCAATCTGCAGGAGGAAGCAAAATGGATAATCTGACAGGGCTGGTGGCAGAGGGGATGGGTTCATAACTGAATTACTTTGGCATTGACAAAGATGAACTGGTGGAGATAGGCAAGGAGTTTTACATTTTCAAATCTCTTCCACTTCACTGGCTATAAGAAGCACAGAAGAATTTTCACTTAGCTTTGCAGAGAGTCTATTGCCTGGTGTTAGAAAGTACAGGGTGGCCTTCCAGCTACATTTGGAAACTGAGAATACATTGTCTCCCTGGCCAGGGTGGGTCACAGGCAATCTGCTCTGTTTATTCATGATTCCGAGCAGAGCTGGTATGATTGAAGTTGTTCTTCTGCAGAACAGCAGTTTGTGTGCTTGGGAAATGAGAGATCCATTCCTGGGGTGTCCTTTATCCCAGGAGTTCCAATTCACTCTGCCCACAGCCTTGACTCTCACAACTGAAGCAATCTCTGCTTACAGCTGAGTTCATGTGGGGTTGGTTGCAGAGCCCTAGGCAGTGGGATCTCAAGGATTTCTTTTCAGTTTTCCTCCTGGCAGCCCACCCAGGGCTGAGTGTAGCTCTGCAGTGCATTCTGCAGGTGCTGTCCAGGTTGCTGTCAGATAAATTTGCCAGCTGTGCAGTGTACCTTCACAGCAGCTGAGGTGTACCTGACAGAGCAACCTGATCTCTGCCTGGCCAACCCAAGAATATCCAGGATTAGCTGGATTCCAGCCTTGCCTGTGTCAGGAGAGCAACCACATGGTTGGTTCACACAGAACTGAGCTTGGGATCTCTCTCTGTGTCAGACTTTGCAATAAAATCACCCATGTCACCTCATAGCCACAAACCTGAGTTCTTGGTCATGGATTGTGTGTTTTTAGCTTGTAAATTATGAGTATGAAGTTAATCTGAAAGACTGCAGATACTCAATTGTACTAGATATAGCAAATTGTATGCAACTTAAATTGTTGCATGTGCCCTTGGAAAAAAGCCCTTTGAGGGGTATCTTCAGGCCTGTAATATGCCTCATATCACAGCAGCTTGATTCTGCTGGGATTTGTGTTTCAGTTAAAGATGTGGCTATTTTCCCTGGCAGAAGGCTGGGCACAGAGCTGTCCTATGATCACTGTCACCTCCTTCCAGCTCCACTAGCCACAGTCTGACATTGCCCTGAGAATCTTATGTGGGAAATGTGGGATCTGTGCTGTTTTTGCCAAAATCTGTCTTTCTTTCTTTCATTGCAACCTTCCCTTTGTGTATTGCTGATTTGGGAAAATGTCTCTAATGAAGCTTCAGGGGGTGTTGACTCTTTGGAACGCTGCTTTGGGAGCCCCAGGGAGCAGGAGCTGCTGATGGATGAGTGGGTGTTGCAGCCTGGGGACCAGCTCCCTCTGCTGCTGGCAGCCAGCCTTCTCCAGCTCCCTAAAGACCTGAGGCAGTGCAGGACCTCGAGCAGTCATAGAGTTGGGGTTCATGTTTCACAGAGTGGAGTCTGTATTCCTCTGGTGTGATGTTTGATGAAAATTAGTGCAAATGTGCTGGAGGCAGGGGGCAGATGGGCAGCAGCAATGTCAGATGAATGCACGGTTTTCTTATGCACTGACATTAATCACTGGAGCTGGGCTGTCTGCTGCATAAATTGGCAAATTCTAAAGGTAGCCTTGTCTTCAAGGGAAGCCATCAGCACTTCCTCAGATGCTAGAAGTACATCTGCTGGAAAGGTCTCCCAGGCAGTGGCCAGGGATGTGCTGCCTCTCGCCCTTTCTCTCCCCTGCTTTGGGGACTGATGTACAGGGCATCTCTGGTGGCTTGACCCTGGCTGGATGCCACGCTCTCACCAGAGCCCCTCTCTGTCACTCCCTTCCAAAACTGGACAGGGGAGAGAAAATAGAATGAATCTTTCCTTTTGGACCTCAGTAATTTCATCAAAGGGATCTGTCCTGTTTTGTGACCATGCACCCATAACTTGGGTTAAAATTACTGGATGGTTCTTGAGAAAAGATCTTTATGAAATAGCACATAAATGAGGCCATGGCAGAGCTGGCCTGGTGGTTTAAGTCCCTCCTTGCTAAAAGGACTCAGGCTCACACCTTACACTGCAAAGCTGGCACTAGGACCCCAGTGCTGTTCCAGATCCTTCACAGTCCCTGGATCCCAACCCTTTTTATTTTCCTTTGCACAGGATGAAAGCAAGGATTTTGTGTCCAGTTCCAGGAGGAAGCAGTATGGCTCTTCTGAGTACCTCCTCCAGGCTGACGCTCTGGGCAAAAGGACAGCCACCAAGGTGGAACTGCAGGACCCTGAATCCACCTCCCCTGCACCACCAGGGCTCCAAGGAGAGGAGCAGGTATGTGAGGGAAGGAGTTACAAGGCAAGAACACAATATCTGAACTGACCTCCCAGTAACCTAATGTAGAGAAGTTGTCCAGAAAGTCTCCACTCTTGTAGGAGAAATCAAGTCTGAAGTTAGCACTTGCCAGGGATGGAGTGGCTGCTGTGTTTTCTCTTATAAACTTGTTTCAGCAAGCTGTATGGCTAAGAATATTCTCAGATAACTAAGTGGCACTGCATCTAGTCATCCTCTGGTACCTGGATCAATCAGGGATGGAAAAAAACATTCGAAGAGACAAAAGCAGAGTGCCTGCTTCAGCTGGCAGCTTTACTACTGGAGTGTTTGCTGCTATACCCCTGCTGCTGTGCCAGCTAAGGACTGTGGTCCTGGTGGGATTTGGGATGGTTGCCAAGGGCAGTAGCAATCTTGTCTGCAAGGAGAAATGCTCTGGGGCAGCAGTGGGCTGTGGGCAGGCTGTGACCTTGTGGGTTTCTCTTCCAGGGCGCTGCCCGGGCTTGCCGGACATCTCGGAGATGAGCTGCATTCCCTTCTTCTCAGTGGCCATGGTGAAGCAAGAGGCAGGATAGTACCAAGCTCACAGGCATCACACCTGTTTGTAACCTCTCCAGAGGCTTCAACTAGCCTGAAACCAGTTTTGTTATGCGATTTGAAAGGTACAGGAGCTTTACCAGTGAATTCTTTTTCTTCATTGCTGAAGAGGCAGCTGCAGAGACTTTGCTCAGGGGACTCCCACTTCTCATCTCTGTACCTGCAATCTTAATCTTCCCTGTAGGATGATAGGTCTGTCTCCATATGGAAACTCTGACTACCTAGCCTCTCTGAACAATGGTACTCCTTGCACAAGAGAGAACTTTTGTTCACTTGAGTTCACACAAGATCCCAGCAGTGTCCCTGTGGTTACATCCACCAGCCCATGAAGCTGTCCACCACAATTGAAGGCTTTCAGTTCATATGGAGTTTGCATTCTCCTAATACACCCTTGCTGGCTGGGGTGGTGGTCACCTCAGTACCTGTGTTTCCAGCACCCTTAGTCTCTAGGCAAGAGGAGACTGTTCCCCACTGGTTACTTTACAAATTGAGAGGGAAGGAGAGCAGAAAATGTTGGAGTTGGTTCCCTATCACTGTCACTCTCTGCAACAAGCTTTGCATGATCTATTCATCACCAGTTGAGATCCTGCACCAAGAAGTCATCCACTGAGCCAGACCACACAGCAGTGACACCTCCTCCTGCCTGGGACCAGGGTGCCGTTCATCTGGAGCTTTGTGTTACACTCTGCAGGCAACAACTCTGGGGCTTGTGCAAGGCAGTTGAGCCCTATGAGAAAAAGAAACAAGTGCTTTTCCTCACAGACAAGCAGAATGTCATTGTTCCTTCCCAAAACAGGGTGGAGACAGCTGGATTGGACCCTAAGGTGACCTATGGTAGCTTTGGTCTGTGCCTCAAGCCCTGTCTGCCATGCCTGGGACCCAGGTATGGTCAGAGACTGCTCAAACACAGAGCTGTGTGTCATCCCCATCAGTGCCTGCAGGCCACTTGCTGTCAGTTGGTGTCACTGTGGGGCAGACACGTCCCCACAGCTCCAGGAGGTGCTCAGGTCATCAGCAGCATCTGTCCTGAGCAAGGTGATTGCACCTGGCTCTCACAGCAGGGCTGGACAATCCTTCCTTCCCATCCCATCCCATCCCCAGCTGCTGGGCTGGCCCCCCCAGTGCTGCCTGTCCCTCCCTGCAGCAGGACAAGGAGAATGCTCCAGACAGAAAAGGTCCTTGATCTGTTTCAGAGGTGCTGTGGGAAGAGCTGCACCCCACACTTGTGCCCACATCCCACCTCTGCAGGAGCAGGTACCAGAGCCATCTGATTGCCTGTACTGCAGCTCCTCCCTGGCCTGGGAAGTACACACCTCAGTTCTGAGAAGAAAATCAATCAGAAAAAAAAAAAAAAAAGAAAGAAACCAATAGAGCTAGTTGCAAAATATCTATGAAAACATTTCTATAAAAGGGATGTGCTCTAGTGACATGATTATTTTTTTATAAAGATTGTTTGGAGGAAGGGAAAAATTATTTTTGAAAAAAAAAAGTTTCTTTTTGGAATTTTAAAGATGTTTTCCCAAGTGTATATTTTTAACCCTTCATTTTATTCTTTTACATGTCATGACGTGTGTCAACTTGCATAACAAGACAAAAAAGATGCTTTTAAATTAGTACTGAGTGGCAGCTCTAATTTTAAATTATATTAAAATAAATTGTATCAACTGCTCTCTCTTACCATTGACATAGTAGTGCTATTAGAATGAGATAATGAGAAAAAAACATTAAACTCCAAACTAAAAATGAAAGAAAGTGAAATTCTGAAGCTAAATTCAGACTTCTTACTGCCTCCCCCTGCCCTGTGTTTATCAGGAAGGATTGGCAATCCTTATGGATTGTGCAGTCTGAAGCCAGTGGATGTAAGAGTCCTGTGCAATGGCTGTGTCCTTCCTGAGCACCCTGCTCTGCTCAGCACTCCCTGTGTGCCAGGTTCAGAACCAGAACCAGGGCATTGCCTGGGCAGCAGCAGCTTCCCTTGCCCCGAGCCTGCCCAGCTCTGCCCTGCTCTGCTGCTGGCCCTGCCCCTTCTTCTCATGTGCCCCTCCAGACTAACCCTGCTGCCTCGGCTGCCCACAGGCCTCACGCTGTACCTGCCTGCTCACCCTGGGAGCAGCTGGGAGGCATCTTGGCATGTCCCTGCCTCTTCAGATGTCACAGGGATTCCACCTGCACATTCCTGAACCTGCTGGAGCAGCTCTCCAGCTGTCACCTGCAGCAGTCACAGTGGCTGTGGGAGAGCCACTGCTGGCACTGCTGTTCTGCCTCCAGGATCCTGCGTGGTGTGGGGCTCCCCTGCCCTTGCTCGCTGCTGCCCAGGACGTGCAGCCTGAACAAACTGCGGGACAGCACGGACGCCCCGAGGAGGACGGGGATCACCGGGCAGTGCCTGAACGCCTTCCCTCACAGCCCAGCCCCATCCTGCTGCAGGACACGGCTCCACACACCACAGGATGTCCCTACACATCCACCAGCTTTCTCCTTCTCTCCTTGTTGGTGTGGATGTGGCTTAGCACGGTGCTCCCAAGGAGCCTTCCAAGGGAAGTGGTTTCAGCTGTGGTGAGGAAATCTCTGCCTCCCTGTGAGTCAGCGTGTGCGGTGAATGCAGGTTCCTGTGCCTACCCACGGAACACTGGCTTACCTTCAACCCCAGCTCACCCGGAGAACTCAGCCCCGTGGCTGAAGTGCAAGGGAAGAACCACCAGCAGCAACAGCTGTTGAGTTTTCTCCTGTCAGTCAGCCAGGACCAGGCTTAGCCTGAGCAATGGGAGGGCTTGACCCTGCTGCTCAGCTGGCTTAGCCCCAGCGATTGCCCCAGCAACACAGCGCTGCTGGCACTGTCTTCAGGTGCTTCTCACAGATGATGTCTCTCCTTTCTCCAGCTGCCTCAGTTATTTGTTCAATATTTTACAGCGGATACCTTGAACTCCTGCTCTAGACTCGGTTTCACTGCTTGTAAATACTGGACACAGATGTCACTTGGTAACTGCACACTGGTTGTTTTTACCACAGCTGAGATTATATCTGAGAAAACCCTACCTAGTATGGAAAGGGGCCATGCCCTCTAGTCAATGAGTGCAATAGGAGCTGATTGTATTATTAATCTTATAGCAATGACTTCAGGAAACACAATGTGTTTACTCGAATTGCACACTTTTTTTGAACAGCTGTAAAATAGAGTATATGTGTAAATATTGCCACCACTGAAGAAGTATTTGTAATTTTAGCATATAAATATAACCGGCTTTTCAGTAGGCTTGATGATGCACAAGGCCATGCATCGAGCCCTCGGGTAATTCCAAAGTTGTAAATGTATTTGCTGTACAGAGGAAGTGTGTCAGTGCTTGCTGCTCCCAAGGAACCTCAGTTGCTGGTCCCTTTTGGAGAGCCAGTGCTTTCCCCAGAAGGGCTGGCTCCAGTCTGAGGGCCCAGCAGCTCACTGCTTCATGTCTGGAACACCTCTGCAGCCCGCAGAGCTGCCTGTCCAGCCCCTCCGAGGGTCTGGGTGACAGCCTGGCCACTGGAGCTGTGCAGTGCACCCCTGGGGACAGGCCCCCAGCAAGGGAAAAGGGCAGGAAGCACAGGGCAGAGCCACGTGCCTTGGTGCTTCAAGAGACACTTGACACAAGCAATTTCCCAGCTACAGATTGAAGCAATAGTCACATTGGTGTCATCTCTAACGCAGTAGACCTCATCTCTGCCACCCTTGCACACGGCTGAAGCAATCAGGGCACTGCTCAGGCCAGCCCCCAGGCTGAGCTGTGAACAGAACACAAAGCCATTGTTAGCAGATGCCTCCCATGGTCAGCACCCAGGGCCCAAAGGATCCTCCTGGGCTGCCCCACGTGCAGTGCCGGCTCCTGCTTTGGGGAAGCAGCACTCCAGGCTGCATGGAATGTATTTTTAAGAGAATAAATCTATTTTTTTGTATTTGTGAACATATATTTGGGTGGGGCAGCTTAGTTAGAAGACAAATAATGCAAGAAGTCTTTTCATAATCACAGGTTCATCCAAGTTAAGCAGATTTTCCAGGGTTGCAGTATTGCCTTTTCCCCTAAAATAAACTTTGTGTCCAATAGAGCAATGAGCAGTGTTCCACCCTTAGAACTTGCCCTGTCTCAGCATGCTGAGAAGAGGAAAGCCAGCACTTTCCTCCCCAGGCTGCCCATGCAGTGGATACAGATGGTGCTCACCTCCCTCCAGCGACACAGTGCTCTTAGTCTGCATGCCAAATGTAAACACACACTTATCTGCATGTCTCTCCTGACTCAAACACTGTCAGTGCTACAGTATATAACCAATAAACACTCTTCTCTTTTTACCTGGTGTGATGTGGTGTTTACAGCTGAGCCCTGTTTACAGCAGTGCCCATTGCTTGGGGGTGCACTGAGGCAGCAGAGTGTGTGTGTGTGTGTTGTGTGTCTGTCTGTCTCTGTGTCTGTCTGTGTGTGCACACTGCAGGGTGGCTCAGTGCTGGAGCTGAGCATCTTGCACTTCTTTTTGTGCCTTGGTTGAGGAAGATCTCACATGCCCGTTCCAGGATGCATTTGAGGCAGGGATGGTGCATGCACAGCTTAGCAAGTTGTGCACAGCCATTCTCCACTGAGGCTCCCTGAGCTGGACAAGGATTGCTGAGAATGGCCTGTGCCACCTGAGGGGTTCTAGGAGCAGGGGATGTTTGCCACGAGCCTGGTGTCACAGGGACCAGGTGGACAAAGAGCATCACCAGATCTGCTGCAGGTTAAGGCAGAGGGTCACAGCCAGACTGTTGCTGTGCCAGAACTCAGCCCTGTGCCAGCTTTCCAGGCAGAAAGATTCAACCAAAGGCATTATAGCAATGTCCCTACACCAGACAGCAGCCCCAAAGCAGGAATTTCCAGGCTGGGCATGTCCTGTGATTCCTCTCATCCCAGCTAGCATTGCCTGTTCACCTGGTCCCTGTTAAGGTTACAGGACAAGCACTGGCATTCCAGGTACGTGCCCTGGGATGATTGTTTCAGTCTCCTTTGGGATGTTTAACACACCAGGAGCCATTCAGTGGTTTCATGTACTGCACCAGGCACTACACACAGAGTTCACCTCAGGACACTGGAACACGGTTCAGTACCTTTTCTTTTGTTGGAAGTATTTAATAAAACAGTATGCTTAGCATACTCAGTGATACCAGGTTACTCTACAGCAGAATGCAGGTTTGTAGCAGCCAATGGACCATTTTGGAGAGATGTGATTTGCTACCAATAGGCAAACAGTTGCCCCAAATTCTTGAATACCAGACAGGAATAGAATTGGTCAAAAATATTACTCTTCAAAACAAAGCCATAAAAAACCACAAAGAAATTTACATACATTCTACACTAAGCTAGTATTCGTAGCAACCAGCTTCTAGAGGCCCTTGTGCAATTACCAAATTGCAAATACACACATAGGTAGAAAAAACCCCCAAACACCCTAAAAATCCCTCCAGCTATTTTGACTTCCAAGAAGTATCTGCGAGTCGAAGTCCCCGGCCAGCTTTGCAGTAAAGGACTCTGTTGACACTGACCCTTTGTAAAAGGCTGCCAAGCCCAGGGTCTGGCAAGCTTCTGTAAGGCCATTCTCAGGCAAGGCTCGTACAGCGACTCGGGCTCCTCTTGGCAGACACCGCTACAAACAGGGTCCGCACCGGCGGCACCGCCAGCTTCTCGCTCCTCTTCTGCTCCTGCAGCTGCCCTCACATGCTGGCAGCCTGCTGGGGGGGCACGCCGGGCGTGGGCTGCCGGGGCAGGGTGTACATGGCCCCCAGGAACTGGTCGGCGATGCGGCCGGCCTCGCGCAGCCCGCTCAGCAGCGCGCCGTGCACCGTGGCCGGGTAGTTGCGGATGGTGTGCTCGCCCGCGAAGAACAAACGAGGGATGGGCTGCGGGCAGAGAACAGCGGGGCTTCATTGATCACATTCTGCAGCAGGTGATGCTCTAAGATGTTAACGGTTCCCTAATCACAGCACAGTCTCCACTAATGTGAAGGGTGCATATAGGATAGGCCAGATTGAGCCTATTTTAAGCTGTGTACAAATTACCAAGAAAATAAGAAAATAAAGCTCTATTCCATAAGCAATGTTTGCAAAGGGTCATGTCCAGCTGTAACTGAACTCTACAGCCAAATGTGTTCAGGAAGAATACTTTCCAATCCTGGAACATGAACTCTAGCACAGTAAGCAAACAAAAACTTCAACAACTCACTTAAATCAGCAGTTTCTCTTAAACGGAGACCTTAAACAACTACCCAGAGAATCATAAAAATGGGAGAAAAATAAATGTTCATATATTATATTCTGCAGGGAATAATTTTAATCATAGCTGTGTGTATTAATGACTTCTATTATTAGAACAAGAACTGAAAGCCAAAGCCACACAGCCTTTCCTGGCAGTGCTTTCAAGAGTGGCTGTTGCTTTCAAACTTAATTCTCTCAACATGATCTGGAGATGACCCCTGCCTTCATTGTGTTGGCCCCTCATTTGGAAGAGACTTTTGATACCTGTTCTTCTCACTCTGGCCTTCACCCTCTTTCAAATCACTACAACTCACCTAAATATGATAATGGACAATAAAAGTATGGAGTACAAAACACAGGTATAATATTAAATACTCTGTTCAGACATAACCAAACTGGCTTTCTGAATAAAAATGCTCTTTTTTTAGCAAACAAATGACATCAAACCTGTGATGGCAGAATTAATGAATGAAAAAATTAATTAAATATTTTACGGGTTTTAATCATTCATCGTAAGATGCAAGTTATCTAAACCTGTGTTTAGATATGTATGCAAATTTCTCAAAAAAATATTTATGTTCTGAGGTTTTTCTAAAAATATTTTCTCACCTGTGGAGCACCTGGAATGGCTGGTCCTGGAGTAATTGGCTGAGCCATCAAATCATAGTCATTTCCAGAGGATCCAGCAGCTACATAGGAGTATGATCCCCGGGCCCACGGGTCAGCACGCCAGCGGGACACCACAGTCTCTTTGGGCTGAGACAAGACAGGAGCTTCAGTTGTTGGGAAAGTGCAAATTCTACAGATGTGACAAATACAAACCATGCAAATTGCAACAACACAAGGGACAAAGTCCTTGGGCTGACGTTAGTGGCAGAACTCCATGTTTATATTCTCTGATAATACACACTAAGGTGAATCTTTGATGGCAATTCCTTAAACCTTTCAAAAATATTACCAGACGTAGATCCTCAGCTGGAACTCAGACATTCACAGGTGCACACACCTGCTGTGTGTGTACTGCTTGCTCTGTTCCTTTGCCACTATCCACACGGTGACAAGGCTGCACTGACCTGGGGCACGGCGCTGCTGCCGAAGATGCCTTTGAGGATGGCGAGGCACCGACCCACAATGACATCGTCACTGATGTTCTCCATGATCCCTGCTGCTTCTCCTGCCACCAAGGCCAACAAAATCGGTGCTGGGTGGGGGAAAGGAGAGAAAAAAGAGCAATTGAATTATTGAAATTGAACATTTTGATCAGAGAAGTTGGACTTGGATAGAAATGGATCTGCAGTTAAGGCACAAAGTTAGAGACTAAACAAATCCAACAAAACAGTCCTAAATTTTCCACCATCATGTCAATACACCTAAAAGAAAATTAATTTTTATATGCCATGGTACTATTTAGAATTATCAAGAGAACTTATGTATTAAAAAGTAAATAAAAACATTAGGAATGATGTTTCAATGTTTCATGGCCTAGCCACATTAACTGAAATGGTAATTGTTGATTTTGATTTCAGCCATCTGATTTGTGCTTCAACATGAGGTTTTACTGCATTTCTGTTTCATTTCTACCTGCTCTACCTATTTGCATGAGAAGGAAGGCTTAGAATTTAGCATGTGAGTCTAATTTGTACATGACATGATCTTTCCATCTAAACCAAAACCACGACCCTACCTGTTAGCTACATAATAGAGCCATCAAAAAGCCACAAGAACAGCCTTGCTATCCAAGGCTCATTACTTGTATTTCTCCAGTAAAATCTTACCAAACATTTTAATAATTCAATAGCCTAGAAAGGCACTTCCCTTGCACAACAATTTTTTCCAGTTAACAGAGAAACCTGTCCTGCTTATGTCAGAATGGAAGGAAACCCACTGGTCATCTGCTAAACAAGTAACTCATTTAATATTTCTCCTTATACACACCTTTGCTTTTAGTCTGGTCAATGGCTGTAACAAAACCAGTACACTTACTGCAGACATCTCCTGACAATCTATTGTGGCAGCACCAGCTACAGATAAACCAGAACTACTAATGGCAAAGTCCTGCTGTGGCAGTAATGCAATTTAACAGGCACAGCCTGGAACTGTCTGCAATCCGTGCTGTTCTCTGCTTCCATTTGTCTTCCTAAAAATACTACTTTTGTATCATAGCCACATGTGAACACTAACAGCATTTTAAAAAGTGGTTTTTTCCAGATCTGCAACTATACAAGTAAGACACTGGCAAAAGCAGACATGCACCATAGTTACCTTTGTACAGGTTCCAAAAGAGGAAAAGTTCTCCTCTGCTTGCAGTAGTGCTCCCAACATGGCCAAACAAATTGACACTGGGATCCCAGAAGACACGATCAAAACACAACACAACCTAGAAAGAAAGAACATCAACAGTTAGGAAGAGTGCAGGGAAGAAATAAAAACAAAGACAATTACACTCATTGATGTTTATCACTGGACAGGTCATGAAAGGGAAATGTGGTGAATACAGAGCGCATATACATAATACACAGAGGTGTATGCCTGCAACTGCCTTCTCACAGGTTAGTGTGCTCCCAATCTTCTGGTTAACAAGTTCCATCAGATCTTCTTCTGCAAGTTCCTCAGACAGTTTTCATCATCAAGCCCTAGCAAAACAGCTGTGGAAAAGGCATTCTTCCTCTCCCCCACCAGCCACATCCCACCCACATTTCAGACTCGATGACAAGCTCTGCTCTGCTGCAGCTCCCCCAGTGACAATGTACCTTGTTCAGGTTGCCAAACCCCATCCTCTGCACTGCAGAAGTTTTCCACTCAGGAAGAGGTGGCACAAACTGAACTGCTGGGGGCTGCTGTTTCAGCACTCCCAGGGGCAGAGTGCACAGCACAGCATCACACTTATAAATGAAGGTCTGGCTGGTAGATCGGGTATTTACAGCTATCACTTCACAGCCTGGAAAGGGGAGGAAAAACACTTTAATAGGCCAAGAGGCAAGAGCATTGGATTAAAAATTAAAGAAATTACCATAACCACATCAGAAAGTATTTTGTTTATGAAGACAGCTTTACACTAACAGCACTTAACT